TGTATCAGAAGCTAACAGAAGTTACTCATTATTATTTGGTAATAGTATCCCCAAAACACCCACAAACATCAAAAACACACCTGTTGCAGAGCAGTGTAGCTCAAATCCACTCTGTTTAAAACTACCGCTTCATCATAAGAGAGAGAAAATACATGCAGTGCTTCATTCCTGAATGGCAAAAGGTACAAACAAAATCCATTATGTGAGTCTGAAATGTCTGAATTTTAACAAGCCTGTGAAGTGCTTTTTAGCTGAATGGTGATTAATTGGCCAAATAACAAAATGATCAGGAAATAAATTTTGCAAATTTCTTTAAATTTGTAATAGGCAACCACATTTTTTTTTGGCTTGTTTAATAGACACTGAATGCAGAGACATTTGGCAGGACACTCACACCTCTAGAGGAAGTCCCATTTAAAAGAAACCTGACAATTAGGGCAAAGGCCATAGAATATATAACAGTATCTTATGTGTTGTTCCTCTATCAGCAGAAGAACAAAGTCTGCAACATAGTTACATTTGGTAATATCCAGAAGTCTTATATTATATGTTGGGGCATTTTTATTTTAAAGTATTTTGTACTTTCCAGAAGTGCATTCATACAACTCCTTCAAGCATCAGGTTACTCACAGATTCAGTAGTAAGCAGCCTACTCACAACTAAATGAAAAGAGGTCTAAACACTTAATAGTGGCTAACAGCTTGAGAAGTACTGGAGCACCTGCTACCACAAATGTAAATGAAATGTGGGAATTGCATCCATTCATATTCCCTGCTTCGCCCACATGTGTAATTATTAGCTTTCACACAGATTAAGGCAAAAGTAATTTTATTTCTAAATTCACCTCAATTTGCCCTGACAGACTTCTCCCAATTCACCAGTATGTTGGCCAGAAATCCACCCCAAAGCTCCATTTGATGCATTATTTCAGATCTTTCTTCTAAAATTCTTTTTTTTTCCCCAGAGGAATCTCACACTAGCTGTTTTATTCCTGTCACAAGACTGCAATTTTCAATTATTGGCACTTGTTACTCCTGAAACAGATCAAAATGAAAAAAGATTTCATCGCCTTGGCAAGTCTTACTATATGCACAGTCTCTGCCCCAAATAATTTAAAAATCAGATTAATAAAACAACCCAACAACCAAAAAAAAACCCCAAAGAAACAAACCAACCAACCCCAAAAGAAAGGCAATGTATATAGCAGGCAAATAAATAACAAGAGATCTACACTAGAAGTGATAAAAAGTTACATGTTGGATCCTGTGTGTGAATTCACACGTTTCAGGAGACTCGGGTTCTTGAACAATCTGCTCAAGGACATCCAAGCTATCTCTGGCAGGCACACAGCCCGGCCGGCATCTGGGAGCTCCCTGATACTCTTTGTTAAGTTTGCAGATCAAAAAGAAGAATAATTTGCTGTTCTGAGAGTTACAGAAAGAGAGTGTCAGCACTGCACTACTTTCTGTCTGGTGGAGCTTTTTTACACAAGATGTTTCCATAGCTTCTCCCAGGGGAATGTATTAGAAAGGGAAATTTGTGAAGCACCAGAGAAACTTTTGCCACATTAGTCCCAGACATGATACCAGGGCTGGAAAGAAGGCCATGCCTCCTACACCAAGAGTTCTCACAGGAGGTGGGAAAAAAACTAGTACAAATGCAATTTGCAAGAAAAAATCCACTTAAAATAAGAATCCTTTTCCATTTTTTCCTCTTTAAAAAAAAGAAGTTTAATGGCTTTGAAAAGGAGACACACCAAGTCCTCCATGAAAAGCTGTTTGGTTAACTGCAGAGCTGTTTTTTAAATGTCTGTCTAAACACATTATATTCCCTCAGAGCCCTTAAGCCAGGGCTGCACTTTGAGCACAGCCCTGGCACATGCCACCCTTCCCTTCCTTTTGCCTGCTCCACAGCCTTGCCACTGCACCAAGAGCACTCCCATGACCCAGTTCACTGCATTTAGAATTTTCCCATACCTTAAACTTCGCAAAGAATTTGGAGGACTGGATCCAAGAAGAAATCAAAAAGTTCCCAAAGCCACCTTTTTCCACAAAGCTTGCTGTGTCAATGCTGATTTGTTATTTAGGAACAGCTCCTGGACAATCTAATGTCACCCGAAGGTGACTACTCAGTTTCAGCAGTGAACTACTCAGGCAGGGAAGATGCTGGGCAGGATCAGGCGTAACCTGTCATGTCTGCTAGAGTGATGTGAACTGTCTTTTCCCTGGCATGAACTAAGAGTAGAGTCAGGACCAGCACAGCTAGAGACAGCAAGTTTCAGTAAGAAAACTGCCCAGCAAATCCAAAGCACTATCAGCAGTGGCAAGAAATGGGTCATTTCAGCCAAACTCCTTTCTTTGTAGTAATGGGTACTGTACCTTTGTTATCTGAATTGCACACTAAAGCGTAAATTTACACTTCATGAGCTACTTTAAAATCCACTCTGCTTAATAATCTATATCAGCAAGAAAACACTTTAAAGTGTCTCTCACAATTAAACCCAGGCACAACCTTATATAAATCAAAATTTTGCTACCATATCAAAACGTTACACTGGGGCTGTATAACATTGCCCATATCCTCATTACATGCTACACTAATTACTACCAGCAGATTCAGAATTTTCTGCACATTAGAGGCTTTTAGAGGAGCTGTAAAAAATTTCAGGCATCATTAATTTAAATTTGTATTGAAATTTCCTTTTGACAGATGGCCAAAAATTACTTACTATTTAGAGTACCAGAGCCTGCCTGTTTGCACATTGGAAGAGGAAAGGGAAAAATTAAAAGGAAGAAGGAAATTTGTGTCACGTTCATCACCTGTTAAATGTTAAGGAGCATTATCCTGCATGAATAAATTATTTCATATAAGCACACAGACTCCAGCTGGTTCTGGCTGACAAAAACTGTCTCAAGTCACACAGCAGACAATCATAAAAAGCCTCTCTTAACCGGGAACCACTTAAGGGAGAAGGGATCGATTGAACAAGCAACTAACTGCTACTCTGGGCATCGCTGAAAACATTTAGGAAATTAGCAAACTATTTTACCTTGCAAAGCTGGCAGTAAGCCCCATGATGCTGACACACAAGCCAATTCACAACCTGAGCACCGTGCAAGGCAAACATCTACTTATCATTTCAAAGTAAACGGCACGAAGTAGATGCCCTTCATTCCTTCTGGAAGCTGTATGAGTAACAGCACTTTTGAATCAATCCCAGACAAAATCAGCCTTTTCAGTACAAATGCTCACCCTAACATCCATGCCAGCAAAAAAATCCCAACATCTCACAAGTGTTACAGAAACACGACTAGCATACATTGTTTAGAAACAGTGAGTGGCATATATTCACAGTTCTCAGCCACTTTCTTGAATGAAATCATCATAGTTTCAACTATATAGGTAAGCAAAGTCAAGAAACCACATGGTTATGTGCGCTCACAGTTAGGTATCCACCCCACTTGCATTTGTTATTTTGAGTGCAGGAAAAAGGAAAATGGACTAAACTTATCTGTTCACAGTGAAGACTGGGTTTTCTAGGGAGATCATCATTAATGTGTGGTCCCTCCTCATCACATTAAGCAGTATTAGCAGTTTCCAGCCCTCATGACAAAGAGGCTGAAGTGAAATTCAACACGCTGCAGTCTTATGTCAGCAGATAGACAGCTTCGGTGCCTTTACTGCTCACAGTGAAAACTGACAGTTCTTGTCAGCTCCTGGTTGTTATGCAGAGCCATGTGTGTAACAGCAAAACTGACAACTATTGGCTCAGTTGCGCTTGGCTGGGACATGTCAGGAGTGCCAGTGGCAGAATGGGTGTGCTGGGATAGGCTGTGAGACATGTCCCCACCTGTAGTTGCCAAAGAACCAAGGTGTCAGCTCTTGTGTCAGGTATGGACAGGTATCTAGTAGAGGCAAAGCCTGAGCCCAGAACCATGCTTCTCACAACAGCATAAAGGGAACACTAGTAATATCTGCCTGACAAGATCCTGCTAATCTAATGGACACTAGACTCATGCTGTGCACGTCTCTTCCATCACTTCCCCAACTCCAAGAACATATTATATCTTCCTAAAAAAAGCACCACTAGAAACTTGACAAACTGTTTCTAAGTGCTCCATAAGGTTAGTACAGGTCTTGCCATTTCTAAGTGTATCTTTTCACACTCAGCAGCACCTAATAAGTCTTGATCTTGTGTTTCTGAAAACCGTGCAAACTAGGAGAGCAGACCCATCAAGGAAGAGGACAGGGCTAACACATACCTCTCCATTTGCAGCATTAAAACCCCAGGAGACCCTGAGAAACTCTGATGGCTATCAGTATGGAAAGGCATCATATGTCACTGAATCATACTTGTATCTATTACCGAACACTCAAAATTATACAAGTTGTAAGGTATGTTATTACATCTACTTATGAACATCACCTTATACAGGATACAGGTATGCTGCAGAGTCACTCAGAACCTGAAAATTAATTTTTGGTAAAGGAAGGCAGAATCCTCAGTGCATGTTTCAGTACCACATTCATCAGGGTAAAGGGAAGGGCAGCTCACTCCTCTCCAACTACAGGACAGCAGGCAGCACCCCGCATCTCCCCCTGTAAGCAACAGAACTCTCCTTCCTCAACTGCATTATAAGGAAATATCAGAATTACAATACACAGCATCCAAATGACTTAAGACTACTGGCTTATTCTTTCTGTCTCAAAAGCTTGGACACAGACCCTGGGCAGACCTTTCTTTCCACCCAAGAACAGCCTCAGTGCTGTTCCAGTAAACTCACTGGTCAGCATGTTGCTTGCAATCCTAGCTGTCCCACTACCAGCATTTGCCTAAATGTGACACACTAGGCTACGCAGGATGCTGCCAATCAACACAAGCATTACAACCCATTTCCAGTTTGTGACTTTTTCCAGCACTCTGGGCCACACTACAGAAAAATGCAGTGTTCATGCAGCTCTGTCGAGCTACCCTTTACACCTACGAAATGGAATCCTACCTTGATGGAGTCTCTGTCTGCATGCAGAGCAGCCCCCATGCATAAGGAGAGGGAGATATGGTGGCAGGGGATGAGCATATGGGGGAAGAAAGAAAGAGAAAAATACTAGTTAGTTTACATAAAATTATACATTTATCATACTCCGAAGAAAGAATCCTGATGTCTGTTAAATAATAAATTGCACAGATGTTAACTTTTCTGTACAGTTAATTATTAATGGTGTATAGCCAGATTTATAAAACTGGATTTCTAGCATTTGAATACAATTTCTGGCTATTGCTAGATAATAAACACTAAAGTAATTAGCTACAAACTCTTCGGAAATTTGCTCCTCCCTCTTCCTCCTTTGTTTGCTTTAAACAGAGGATTAAAAAAAAAAAAAAAAAAAAAAAAAAAAAAAAAAAAAAAAAAAAAAAAAAAAAAAAAAAAAGAAGGAAACAAAAGCCACACACTCCTTTGGCAGCACCTACCTCTTTGGTGATCATTATCATGGTGCTTCTTCTCGTCTTTAATTGGGAGGTGGGACTGCCCCCCCAGTGCACTGGAGAGTGCCAGGAGACCAGCACTGCTGCCAATGGGTGGGATGGCTGGAGGCTGCAAGCCTGAAGGGTGCGGAGTGAGCGGCACAGGAAGACCATGTCCATGTGACAAGTGTTGGGCCTGGAGTTGTTGCTGCTGTGAACAACAAAACACAGATATTGAATTTGTTCGGAGAACGGGGGATTGTCTAACTGATCACCTACATCAACTGCGACTGATTAGATCAATCAATGCATCTGATCAATCAAAGGTATCAATCCTCACAAACATCCTGGTGCCTTAAAAATGTCCAGATGTCTGGACACAACATATTTGGTAAAACTCAGACTGAACTGGAAAACAACAACAACAAAAATTTAAAAATGAAAAAAGAAAGCAAATGAATGTTACCATTTTCGTGAACTTTTTATTTTTTTAACATCGGTATTATGCTTTTCTCTTTCTAGTAGAAACGCACCATGTACACATCTAATCAAAACATATGTAACTGTAAAAGCAGTTACATAATGAAAGAAAAAAAAGCTGAAAATTGAGAAAATTAGTGTTAAACAGTTCTCCTAGCGCTACTGCACAGCATGCAGTGAAAGTTAATTTGAAAGAGAAAACCTGAATTAACAATCCAGAAAAGGAAACTGGTTGCAGCCACCGTTTTAAGCCCTTTAAGTGTCCTCAGCGGTACTTGAGCAAATTACTAAAGAAAATCTAATGTAGCAAGGCTTGGGTCCTCCTGTAGGCTTGCTCAATAATGCTGAAATAATTGGGCACTCTGTGCACGTTTAGTGATGCTCGAATGAAAAGCTAGAGGCCTGCCCTTGTACTCTTCTCTAGCTGCTGACTCTGTGTTGTGACAGGTTTATTTGAGTGGGACTGTGATGCATGCACCAGTAACTGCACTGACAAGAGTTTAAAGTCATTTTTACCAGTACACTGGCAACACATAGAGAAAGCCCTTGAGAGGTTCAAATTGGAGTTCTTGACCTCAACCAGGGCTGCATCAAGCTCTGTGCTATATACTAAACACTGTGGTAGATAGAATGTTGCTATTTGCTGGAAAGGCAGTGGAAAAAAACCCTGACAAATCAACAACAAAAAAAAAATCAAACAGGTGAAAAAGTTTAGTTAAATACATCCAAGAGGGATCTGTTCAGGTTTAATACTTATACTCTATCCAACTAATTTCTGTTCATAGAAAAAACACATTACCCCTGAAATTTTCATTTTCAAGCAGTTATTGCTCAGAGTAAGTCAAATCCTAAATCCTCTAGGATTATTATCTCCAACTTGCATGTCTGTACACAGGACTTCAGAAGAAATAAAAACTTAATTTGCCTTGCATAAAGCCATTCCACTTTAAACTTCCAAGACTTACTTACATAAAGGTGAACTGAAAGTAAAAGGCTGCAAGTCACAGCACACTAGATAACCCTTGCAAGCACACTTTACACAGAGCTCCCTTGACATCCCAGCCTGAAAAGTACAGATCCTTCTCTTCTGCATGGAATTAAACCTCACGCAATGGAATCAAACTGGCAGCAGCATGCACACATCATCTAATCCAGACCAGTACCAGAGAAAATAGGGCAATGATCTACAAGAATCAATGGGAATAAAAATACAGAAGAGCATAGGAGGCAAACACCAAATTGAAAACCAAGCAAACAAAAACCCAGAAAGAACATTCTTCCAAGTGGAAGAAGGAGGCAAAGGTAAATCTTTTTCCTGCTTGCAAACCCATGTCATTCCAGCAGGTGTTCCTTCTTGTAGAATGTATCAAACTCATTTTGCTTGCTTGATGTTCTTATGGCAGTATGCTTCATTCTTCAGAATATTAAATTAACTACAATGAAACTAAGTCAGAGAAAATAGGGTATTGTTTAGCTTCAGGGTTTGAACGGGGCTGCCTTACAACAATCTGGCATGTCTGACTTGGGGAGGGGGGAGAACAAGCAAAAGAAAAGGGATGAACGGAATAATCTGTGTTCTGCTACCTGGTTTTGAACAAGGAATTTCCTATTCCTATTTGAGAATGTGCTATAAACCAGTGCATGAAGATCTTTGTCTGAATCTGCCAGTGGCTTTAGAGTAAAGACTTTAAGAAGAGCCTGAGAATATCAACAGTGAGCTTTCCCCTTGTTAACTATTATACTGTCAACTGAAGAGGAACACTCATTACACACTATTGTGCAATCCATACAGGTCTGCCTACTGACCTTCTCAATTTGCATTATATGATCTCCTCTATTGACATAGAATGGTTTCCAAAGAGCTGGAAGAAAACCACACTGTGAAGGTAATACTCTTTTTTACTTCTCTTTGTTAAGAATCTCTCTCACTCAGCAAGACAATAGCACAGACTGAAGCTTGGATGTACTGAATATCATTAATGACTCCCAGACTTAATATCGTCTTTAAATGTATTAGCCTAGCAGCTTGAGATCACCCAGAACAGGTGGGCTGCCCCAGTCCCTCTTGCCTAAGAATCAAACTGTTTTCACTGCAAGTTGAATTGCAGAGAGCTATGAAAATAACTGCAGAAAGTGGTGAATTAGAAAACCAAATCCAGAGCCTTCCTGCCATAGAGAACTTTTCTGAAGAGATCAAGTTCTTCCATTAGAAGTAATGGAAAAGTGAAATCTGGTAAGAATATGGCCTCAGAAGTGACAAAGCATCATTCACTGATACAGCAGAATTTTAGTGTCATTAAGTCACTTTCTAACAGCAGAAAGAAAATGCTTTGGTATGAAAACTAGACTGTGAAATAAGTCTAAGCTAAATTTCAGCATAGCACCACATCTTGTTCCACACGAGGATAATATTGTTGCATACTGTTAGGGGGTGGGAGTAAAACAACAACAGTTGGAAGATCATGGACTATGACTGGATTGGTATGGAAAAAGACTATGACCTCCTCCAATACAAGGAGCAATACCAAAAATGAGGCAGTGGTCCAAATCCAGAAAGGAAGCAAATTCAAGTGAAACACTGAGTAGGTTTTTGCTCTCAAAATATATAAGCGGAAAAGGAAATAAAGTTATATAATCACATAATTAATAATGCTGTTTGCTAATAGGCTTAGTCAATAAGGTAAAGATGAAATGACATCTCTGTCATTTCCTATTACTGTATTCAATTACTTACACAATAACAGCTTGACTTTGTTTTTCCACTGCTTATGGACATCACTGGTGAGCATCAGGCGGCCTACATGCAGCTATTTCTTTAAATGGAAAGTTACAGAAAAATGGGAAATTCCTTAGCCCACTGGGCATGAGATTAATGCTACCAAGTGGTAAAAAAGGGTTTTGATGAGTAGCTCCTCTAGTCATCCAAAAGCCAAAGTTATGGAGGAATAAGTATGGAGATAGTTACTCTCCACACAAAGAAATATTCACTATGGAAGAAAGTCCAAACTTGTTTCTGCCTGTAGCATGAATTTAGATCATAAAACCTGACACAATTTAAAAACTTGCAAGGGAAGCCTGAAAATGAGCCAACTGAACAACTACATAATTTTTTTGAAGTTGCTGTAATGCCTTCTCTTCTCCTTCTTCATCTTCTCTTTAATTTGTTATCTTTGGTGGCTTATTTATGAACTTTTAGCATGTGTAGCATGTGATTAACTTCAGACAATCCCATCACAGTTGACTACAGTATGTGTAAAGTCAAGCATACATCTTCAGCATTAATGCACAATAGGTGAAAACTTGGAAAGACAGATTTTATGATGCTGTAAATTTTCCAGAATTATGTGAAAATAAAAATATCAACAGTTACTAGCAAAAAATACACCCTATGGAATTACAAAATAGATTGCACTGTTTTTAAGGTGCATTCAACATTCACAAAATATAAGAGCACAGGGTAAACAAGCAATCAGAAAGAAGCCAAAAGAGAAGACTGCGTTCTTTTTAGTAATAAGTTTAGAAAGATGATAATTTACATCAGCTGAGTTGTAAAAACTGAAGTAAAGCTTTCAAAACACATTAACACACATCAAATAAAGATAACACCTGGCTGCTACTAATGGTATTTTCTTTTCTGTATATTTTTCTTGGCTGTTTAGAGTAAGGAATAAAAAAACTCCGAAGTCACATGTACACAAATAGGTAAAAAAGATTTGCTGAAGATTTTTATCTGAGTAACAGTAATTTTTAGAACCACCAATCTAAATGTTGATGCTTAGCTTAATTCTTTTCCCAATACATCTTAAGAGATCAACTTTTAAGTAAAATGTGATAACAAACCCACTAACAAATTAGCTTTGAATGCTCTCTTGTTATAGTCAGCACATTCAAAGCCTATTTTCCTGGAAGAGGTTCAAGTTTTTACTGGATACTTTCCAAGCAGCTCTGTGTTGCAGTAATCTACCTCCTTCCCTCTTACAGACCCTGAGAAGTCACAGCCATTACTCAAACAACCTGAACATACTACTCTATCCTGAAGACATTTCTAATGTTAGCAAACTAGTGTCTCAAAAACATATTTTCTCTTTTATATTTTTAAACATGTTCACTACTCGTACCTGCAATACTGCTGGGAGAGGACCTCAAAAAATCTGAATCAAATAGTTCCACTGTTTGTTTGAAATGAGTTAAGTGATGTGGTTGGTTGCTCAGAGTGAATCATTAGTAAAATAGCATACAGACAAAACAGAACACAAGATGATGAGAAAACAAAAACATAAAAACAATGGCTCAAGAGTACACCATATCAATGTCAGTGGTTTGAAAACCAGCAAAGGCAATTCTTTGGCATACAGTTATGAGTGTAATTAAGATGATATGAACTTTTAACTATTGTGTCTGTTCACATTCTTGATGTGATCTGCACTGTTTGTACTTCCTTTGTACTGTTCTCTCTCTGTTGGCAGATATTTAAAAAAACAAAAAAAAAGTTTTTCTGATGTTATGATACAAGACACCAAAACAGTCCACAAAGACAGTCATATAGCAGTTCCTCCAGTGGAATGGTTCTGGAGCTATATGGACATATTCCAAATAATGGGTTTGCATAAAGAAACAATGGTACTGATGCAGAGTAGAACAAATTACTACCTGTACTCTTTAAAGGGAGAGTGAACATTTTGAAAATTATTACAGTGCCCAGACTAAAAGGAAATATCCTGGTGGGAATCC